ACTGGGTTAGTAAAAAGCCCTCTCAGGCGTCAAGCAGGATGTTTTGGGCAGCATAAATTATTCTGCATTTCTGTCTACTGCCTTCTTACTCCAGGCAGCAACATTCATAAAAGTAGCTTTCAGTCGTGTTTGTTTGCCATGATTATTCTTTGAAGTGCAATACCTTGCAGCTGACAGGCTGTTTTTTTTATTTAAACGCCTTGGAAGCTGTACTCGGGGTCATGTACATGTATGGACTGCACGTCAAAGCCGACTGGTGTGCCGCGCTCAAATGTCTGAAGGAGGCTGCAGAACGCGGTAGCATCTATGGCAAGGGGGTCTTATCACTCCTCTATTACCAACGAAAAATGTATACAATGGCTGCGCAGACCGCCTGTTCGTAAGTCCATCTTCAAGTTCAAACTAATGAAGCCAGTCAAACTTGCCGCAGTCAGTAAGTGGATGTCCCCAATGTGGCTCTTATGACAAACACCCTCAACTTACTTCAGTTTATTGAGAGAAATAGGCATGAGCCTTTGAGTACCCTATTTGCAACGTAAAACTGAGTACAGCATACAGAGAAATCATGTGGATTACAAGAGTTCAAACGGGACTATAGAATATGACATTTGGGGCGAAGGTTTCAAGAATGAAGTCAAATACCTCCTAGCTCTAACTCATCTCCGAACATATATATATGTCATTGTTTCTTTTAAAGTATTCCAGCGATGATGACATCGTAACATCTTTGTAGAGAGCTTTCCATGGCTTGACCAGTCTGACTACAAAAGAGAACTTGCGCACATCTAGCCTTGTCTGTTAAATACCCAGTTTAAAGGGGTGAATTTGGAGATTGATCGTGATAGCTAATTCAGAACGAGGCCCTAAACGCCAGGCATCAATCCAATCCCTTCGCAATGCCGAACGCCTGTAGGAGATTCCCGCGAATTTGCCTTTAGCTTAAAAGAAACAAATTAGGCTTTTTGGGCGGATTGCATATGGGAAGGAGCTCTGACTCTTAATCATGTTGGTTGCCCTCCTTTGAACTCTTTTGAGACTACTCTCACCCTGGACTATTCAGGGTTTCCAGCCCTGTATAACATACTCTAAATGCGCCTTCACGAATGGACCAAAAATGTTGGCTGACCAATCCGAAGCTAAGTCTGCGCATGCAGTTCCCAAACTCAATGCCAAATAGTTTTAACAGAGGGAGTCTCCTCCCACTCGCTACTTAAGTCATATTAGGGAGTCAGTACGGTCTGAACATCGTTAGTAGCCAACCTTAAAAACCGCGGCAGTTATAGAGTCCTGATACAATAAATTAGAAGAAGAGATCATAATTATGGCGTTGTTCCTCTGAGCTTTCGAATTCTTACCTGAGTCTATCATCGGAGATTAAAGCGGCACCAAAAAATAATCTACAGTTAAGAGGAGTAGGGGCCAATCCAACACCAA